AGGTGCGAAGAAAAGTTGTAAACTGCATTGGCTGTCATTAACTGTCGGACAATAAAGAAATGATGCTTGACTATGATAACTACTGTTAACCTTATGTTTACTGGCAGAATGTACGTACTGACAAAGATTTCGAGACCGAGATGACTAATATAACAGTGTTATCTTAAGTTTTCAACAAACACACGTGAATAAAATACGTCAGAACAAGTAAAATACATTGAAATGCAGTCTTGAGATATATTGACTTCAGTGAAAAATGTACGGAATACTCATTGATGCACTAAGAGTGTAACAAAGTGTACGCTTAGCATGCGATTGTGTGATCGAAGTGATTCAATGACTACTAACGACTATAGGTAGAAATATCAGGAACAGTAAAGAAATGAGAAGCTACTGTAAAGTGAACGACTGATTCCGAATATTAAGTGAATACTTAGTACTGTTCTTTTTGCACTAGTGATGATTGATATATGCTTGAACACATTTTAGTAGATCTGTTCAGTCTATGTTGAAGAGCAAGCCTCAACTATAATTGGAGATTGGGTATCATGCATAATAAAACGATGGATAACAGTGCTGAAAAAAATAGTTCATTAAAGTATATGATATTCTGAAGGTCGGTCAGGTTACTTCTACGAAAACTACTACTACTATTACTTCTACTACTATTTTAATTACTACTAATACTCACACTAAAACTAATACTTACCATATTCATAGTTCAAGTACAAACACGTAGATTACATTCATGTTTAGAATATACAATTTACCTGTTTCGTCAGTTACTATTGGTACTGAACAATTGTTTGTTTCAGTCGTCACTAAGCACCATATCCATAAGATAGTTACAGCAAGGTTAGATTTCACTATTTGTGCTCCCATTTCTCAACTGAAGAATAATGAAAAATAGCTGAAATCTTCACTATTTATATTGGTGACAGTTCACGAATATGATACACTCAATGAATTGTTATTGATGTATACATTTTATTGCATTTTACCGTTTTCTAATATGAGAAAATGGAAGAGAATAAAAGATTTCAGGTCATGATAATAATTACTCCATACACAACATCCAATCTTACGTACTTGAAATTGAGATGTTTGAGGACAAAGGATGAGAAGGTGAATTGTATTCTAAATAAAAAGACTTATTATCAGAAGGGCTTTTTGTGAATATTATAGTAATTTATTAGTTGAGGTCCCAGGTTTAAATCTCGCGGTGTGGGATCGTGGATGCACGCTGCTGAGAAGTCCCATACTAGGACAAAACGGCTGTCCAGTGCTTCCAGGTTTTCCATAGTGGTCTAGCTTTAATTGACTTATGAACTCAACTAGTAGAAAGATTTATCTCAACAATTCAGAAAACAAACCTTTTAGATGTATCAGCTACCTCCTGGCATCTATCCATTTATCTATCAACTAGTCAATCTATCTATTATCTTCCTATAGATGTCAATCCACCAACGACGAAAGAAATCAGAATGGCCATCAGACAAATCAAGAGCAGGAAAGCAGCAGGACCCGACAATATACTAGATGAAGCACTGAAGCCAGACATCGAAGTAACTACAAACATGCTTCACCTTCTATTCAAGAAGATTTGGGGGGAGAAAAGAGTGCCGACCCTAAGTAGATTGCAAAAAGACCATAAGAACGCCATAGTAGGTTTATTTATTTATTTGAACGCATAAACATTAGTACAAGGAGGCACCAAATACATATGCGCCACACAGAAACAAGTGCCGACGGACTGGAAGGAAGGACACCTCATCAAGATTCCAAAGAAAGGAGATTATAATGTTTTGAATTATTTGAATTGGAGTATGAACTAAGAGTCCCAGAAATAACGCAATTGAATTAAGAAGTGAGACACAAGCACAAACGAATGTATTGTATTTGGAATTCGAAATCGAGCATTCAACAAGTACCAAAGTATTATTAGTTCGTTCAAGCACCACAGAAAACTGAGCAGATGGTAAGACTACAGAGGCATCACACTACCGTCAATACCTGGGAAAGTCTTCAACACAGTGTTGCTGAGCTGGATGAAAGACGCAGTAGTCGCTCAACTTTGAGATCAACAAGCTGGATTCCGTAAGGATCGGTCGTGCACAGACCAAATCGTAACACTACGGATTATCGTCGAACAATCAGTTGAGTGGAATCCGTCACTACACATCAACTTCATTGATTATGAAAAGGCACTTGACAATTTAGATAGGAAAACATTATGGAATCTTCTTCGACACTGTGGAGTTCCTAAGAAGATTGTCAACGTTATCCGGAACTCATACGACGGAATGCAGTGCAGAGTCGTGAATAGAGGACAGCTGACGGATGCATTCCAAGGAAGGACCGGAATCAGACAAAACAGCTCGATATCAACTAGAAGATTTGGACTTCGCAGATCACCTGGACCTTCTATTCCATGCACATGAACAAATGCAGGTGAAGACAAGTGGTGTAGCAGGAGCCTCTGTCTGCATCAGTAGGCCTCAACATACAGAAAGGAAAAACCAAGATCCTCAAAAACAACACGAAGAACACCAACCTAATCACACGCGATAGAAAAGCTCTGAAAGATGTGAAATCGTTCACGTACGTGGTCAGCATCGTCGACGAACAAGGAGGATAGGATGCAGATGTAAAGGCGAGGATTTTCAAAACAAAGCAAACTCCGTACTCCTACCATTGAAGAACATATGAAACTCAAAACAACTTTCAACCAATATCAAAGTCAAAATCTTCAATACGAACATCAAGACAGTCCTACTGTACGGAGCTGAGACGTGGAGAACTACTACAACCATCATCAAAAAGGTACAAGTATTTATAAACAGTTGTCAACGGAAGTTACCCAATGTCCATTGGCCGGATACCGTCAGCAACAGCCTACTGTGGAAGAGAACAAACTAACTTCCGGCTGAAGAGGAAACTAAGAAAACACGTTGGAAGTGGATAGGATTTACATTACGGAAATCACCAGACTACATCACGAGGCAAGCGCTTACTTAGAACGGAAAAGAGGAAGGCCGAAGAACATTCTAAGTCGGGAGTTGGAGGCTGATATGAAAAGGATAAATACTAGCTGGAAAGGACTGCACAACATAGAGCTGGATGGAGAGTGTTGGTGGGTAGCCTATGCTCCTCCACGAGGAGCAACAGACATAAGCAGGTAATCATTTATCGCACGGCTATTTATATATCTTTGGTTTAAAAATTTGTTTCATCCCATTTTGCACAATCAAATAAATTTTTGATTTCGACCATAAATCGATCAATGTTTGACAACCATTAAAAACCTAGAATCACTTGACGGGCGTTTCGTCCCACTGTGGGCCTCGTCAGCAGTGGGGATCCACAATGACTAGTTTTAAAATGGTAATGATGTTGTTTTTCTGAAAAATGGTATAAAACTTAATTATTCATCAAATGAACACCTTATTTCAACTACGAACGTAACTTACAAAGTACTAGATGTATTGTTTTGAGCGTTCCGATTGCTATCAAAAATTATGGAAGGACAGCATACTGCCATTAGACGGGTCGGGATTCTCATCTCCATAAGCATCAAAAGGTTGTCTCAAACACCGTTGACGTTATAACTAGCACCTGAACCTCATATACAAGTCTTCACTTCTACGGATGAAGTGATACCAGGAATCCAACTAATAAATATTACAAACTATCGAACGGACATGAATTTCAATGCAACGCTGTCATGAAGGTGATATTTCTATAAACTCGGAGAGTTCAATGACAGATACAACAACACAGACTAAGATGTTCATCCAAACAGACTATGTGACGATGCTACCTTGCTCAGCTGTCATTTGAAACCGCTGAAGCGAGAATCTGGATTGTTTGTTATTGCAATGATATGTTTCATCCATTTTGTGGTTAGGACCCACAACCGCGATTTCCTGATTTTATTGCACAAAATGTGGCACAACTACGGAAGTGTAATGGCAGATGTGGTCGTACAAACCATTGGTATCACAGACAAAAAGGTACGTTCATATTTCAGTTACTGAGAATCTAACGCTTTTTTTCTTTTTTATGGGGTGATTGTTGAGGAAGTACCGGAATGGAAAGGTGGACAACACCAGGTGAGAAATGGTTGTCCGGTTGGAACCAATAGACCAATAGAAGTCCCCTTAAAAACCACGCTAAATACATTTGCGCCAAACAAGTAACATGATTTGTTACTTGTGGTACTGCCCGGGTGCCGCAAAATATTATTAGTTTTTATAACCTCAGAGGCTATGACCCCTCTTTTTGTTTATCCGCATTTTCCCAATATTCTGTGAGCAGAGACTTATCTTCTATCTATAATCTATTTCCACTTAACGTTTTTCAGTACTTGAAAACACTTCCGACCACTTTTTAAATGTAACACCTATTTTAGTACAGACTTGTGTGTGCTAAATAATTACAAATACGGCTGTACCCTTTCAGTAAATGATACTTCCAATTCCGAATGTTTCGATGGGTTTCTCTAATTACATAAAGAGTGAAATATTTCTCCATGATGTTCGTATCATTATTCCTTTTCACCGATGGTGAATAAATATTAATTTCAAAATTAGAAATAAATGGAACGCTGCACTTTAATTCGTATCACAATTGTAATGAGTTGTTTAGACATCATCTCTAACACAACATGATATACTGGAATACGTATGCCATAACCTCAAGTACAACACCATATGTGACACTTACGTCTCAGTTTTAGTTTTCGGATTTTTATTTCGTAGCCAGCGTTGGCTGGCTGAAGCGGACTTCTTAGCATCTGAACAGGCACCCATACGTCTGATACTGCGCAGAACGGTCTCAGAAGGTTGTAAATAAGATAAGAGTTCTTGGTACAAAGCGAGTTTCTCCTCTTTACTTAGCACTTTCCCGCCGAGTTCATCGCTTATCGATGTGTCTTTCAATGAATTCTTTTTCCGGTGTTCCTTGACTTTTAGCTAATTAATATCTTCTAACCAATTATCACGAGCATCAACTTGCTATAATAACAGTAACCGTTAATCATAATTTTTCTACTAACTTTCTTGAAAATGAAAGTGCCAGCGGAATCGAAGTGACCGTCTTCCTCAAGCTCTTCTTTCATGTTAAATGGAGTTATTTTAACTTCATCATCATACTCTAAAGTCGTAGCTTCCTGACCTTGTAGAATAATATACAGTAAACAACCAGATACCATCTATATCTGCTTCATGTAATCGGAAACAATCTTTATCGTTATAGTCTTCTTCATCACTATCCAAAGATGGCTTTGACAATTTTAAAGGTTTTGATAACTCTTCGCTAGTGATCTTACTTCTAGTTAAGTAGCTGGACAAATATGACATACCACACCTAAGCCAGAGCGTTTCGACATGTGACTGGATCTTTATGTTAATAAATAGTCGCCGCCTCCCACGGCTGCAATAAGGAAAAATAGCAAAAGTTAGAAACGCATCTAGGTTAATAAACGAACTGCCAAATTTCATCGTTAATCCCTTAAGCATATATTTGGACCTAAATGTAATCCTAAGTAGATTGCAAAAAGACCATAAGAACGCCATAGTAGGTTTATTTATTTATTTGAACGCATAAACATTAGTACAAGGAGGCACCAAATACATATGCGCCACACAGATCACTTGATTTGTGTGAAGGCTGTGATACTATCCGGGTGTCCAAACTGAAGCAGGGGGACTCCCTAGGGTCAGTCAGTCAGTCAGCTACAACGTAAGACCAGGCACATATGTGCATCGGTCCAGGTTGCCATACCGCATCAGCACAACAAGATGAACACCGGATTCATGGGAGTGGTTAGGTCAAAGGTGATGATATAAAGGAGAAAGATTGCATATAAGGATATAGTATAGGAAGAAAGAATAAGATAGTAGAAAGAAAGATATGAAGTGATTTTAATCTCTTAGTTAAAGGGAAGACAGGGAGTGTATACACCTACACCATTGTGACCGATTCTGAGCTATGTCACCAGGTCTCCAACCATTGGTTACGAAAGTCACGCGGACCTCAACTGAAGTAGTCTGCATCTACCAACATGGCTCAGACTAGAGGTTAGTGTTTTCAAGCACTGATGCCAGCGAAAGATCATGGATCGATTGGAGTTAGACATAAACACCAATGGACGCCGACTTAATGGTTTAGAGGTTAAGAGTTCGAGTACGAGAGCGAGGGTCCTCGATTCGAATCCTGCGTGCGGGACCGTGGATATGCGCTTTTGAAGAACCCCACACTAGGACAAGACAACCACCCAGTACTTTGAAAACCTGTTCTCCATACTTTTATTTATTTATTTGTTTATTTCAACACTTAAATATTGGTACAAGAGGGTACCAAATATATATGCGCCACACCATATTTGTGTGTGTGTGTGTGTGTGTGGGCTGTGATACTGCCCGTGTGTCCAGACCGAAACAGGTGGTTTTCTTAGGGAGCCACGACCCGTTCCCATCTCGAGATTCAAATGGATCAATGTTCATCGATCTCGTCAATTATTACCTCTTATTTCAGTCTGTTTAAATACAATTGTCTTCCATTCAGTCTAAGTCGTTCTCCAACAATATTCCGAGATGTCATGAATAACGTAGTTGATGATCTTAGCAATGTCAATAATTGTGATGATGACCCTTTTGTTCATGGTCCTGATGAAGCAGAACATGATTTATTTACCGCTTAAACTTTGAAAGCATTCTGCTCTAGAGCTGCACGTTTCTCCAATGAAGATGCATCTGTGTCAAGAAAAACTTCACTACTCTAAACGGGAAAATTGTTTCTTACTAAATCCTCATGTCACTGTTCCCATTCGGATGACGAGCTGACTTTTCAGGTGATATCAGCCAAACAACCACTGGAAATCAAGAAACACCAGAACGTTTTTCGTACTAACACTGTACATCTTATAAACCACGAAGGAATATATATGGGAGATTCATATAGGGCACGGAGATTATCAACTTCAGAGAGATGAACACCAGTAGAGTCAACGTCTACAGTTTATACATAGTTCTGTCAGAAATGTCAATAAATGCATACTCATCACTAACTTCGAGAGATCGTTTCCTCAGTTCTAGTGAGAAACCTACAATACTGTATTTCTACATGGTTAAAACTGAGGAAAATCACAAGTGATAAGGGTAAGTGCAACGAACTTTACATAGATGGTTGCAGTACTAACTTTTGTGACCACTTTATCAATAACGAAGCCTTAAGTAATTCCCAAATTCAGAAAACTAGATAAAGTGAAAATCGGAATTGTGAACAATCAAGAAGATCCGACAGAGCTGTGCATAGGCTAAAAATACATGATAGACACACAGACACAAGCAACAAGTGTGGACTGTGGTGTACAGTTTTGACAGTTGCTGTGTTGTTAGGTGTTTTATGTTCTTTTTGTATTCTGTAGTAACTGCGAAATACAATTCGATTCCGTCCACATCAAATTTGATTTTTCAAATATCTGTTATCCAAGTTTCATGCTGGACTCATAATTATTCTTGAGGGTAGTTATCAAAGAGCTTGTAATATATGCCTGTCATTTTAACAACTGATACACCATTTTTACACAGAAAGTACCTTCGGTTATAATAAAGCGAGGAAACGATGACTGGTGCATAATAACATGAATTTATTTTATCTTGCTTGGTTTTCATCAGCTGTCAGTTAATGTTTGTTGAAGTAAGACAAATATTCTAATACCGATAGTTATTTTTTACATCGTGCTCATCCTACTTCATATTAACCATTCAAAATATCTATAAAAACAGGCTATCATTGTTGCATAAATACGCGACAATATGATCTAAGCATTTATACATACATCTCGGAATCTGTGTACGTTGTAAGCTGAGTCTACTGTAGTTAATGTTCCAAAAATAATATTCCACTCATCATCCTTAAGTCATCCTCTATATCACACCTTAGACGAATGTCTTACAGAAGGTGTCTTTCCCGATCAACAATATAACATTTTCAAGATAATGTACAGGTAACATCCGAACACTAGAATCTACCTTTCTGCCTTTCTATTATTCAGCTAACCTGAAGCTGTTTGTTTAATGCTAATTAATCAAGTGAAATGATCGGCGAATGCTGTCATTTGTTCGAGTCTCAAAGTTGATGTTCATTCCATTACACAAGTCACTGGTTATTTCAACTCAGTGGCCATGTGGATAAACCGGTGATGGTGTTTGGAGAGAATGCTACTGGTTTCGATTTCCAGAGTGAACATCAAATCTGGAATGGTGGGACATGCAGCTGATGAATCCGAAACGGGAAGAAGCGTGCTTCCCGGACTCCACTACTACCCACCATCCACTTCTTGTTAAAATGTGTTGGGATATTCGGAAAAATATACCAATAGTTATCCTGTCACGTCTGATGGTGTCCTTGGACTTTAAATGGGCATTTCCTATTGGCCAATGTTTATTTCACTTGTCAAATATTGTACAAATGTTGTTTTCTATTTTATGGTACCATGTGGTCTGCTTGCTTGGTAAATAAACAGAATATGTTTGAAATATAGCGATTCATATCTCAGAGGCTGAGACTTGCGTTCTGGACACAACTGGCTGGGCTGGACAAGGAAGCAGGGTCAATCAGAACTCTAGGCCGTTCGTGCGTGTATTACGCGTCATTGATCCGATCGATAAGTCGCTGCACTCTCATCTGCAGTTCACAAAACACAACAAAATGCTTGTAACTTAATAACAACATTTAGGAAATACACAAAAGATGTATATATCAGAAAGCGACTGGGTAATTGTAGTCCCTAGCATCAACGGGAAGATCCAGGCAACAAATATATCTGTCGTTGTTAGTTGTATACGTTGTGCTTAATGTACAGACTAAAACTGATTTGCAATGTGCTGTTAAACTAACGGTTAAATCAACTGTCGTTCGACATGGTAGCTGGTCACTCATGCATTATGTATACTACGTGTTCTTCAGTAAAATGTGATCACCAGTAAACAAATAAATAGAACGAAATGTGATGCTGAGAATTATAATTTATTCTAATGAGTGTAACAAAACATCAAGCACATTTGAAGATGAGATAATCAAGAGCCAACTTTTCCGTTGCATATAATAAATGATTTCTACATTAGTGTTGTAGTTATTCAGTCTTCGTTAACTGCCTCCTAGGATTGCAATGATTGCAGTGGTCCACATTGTCTAAAATGTTTGAAAAAAGAGAAGAAATCAAGTTATGTTCCTAGCAATCGAATATTAAGTTGCTTTGTAAACACAGTAGTTTTCGAATGAATATCTTTTCAACCCCAGTCTTAGTGTGCAGAAGTGCTACGCCACTCGTTCATATCTCCATGGAGTCCATCCCCAATTTAGACTGCAAATTTCAAAACAAGTCTGACATTCTATGGATTCCCTAACAAGTTTTTCTTCGTACAAGTTTCTAGACTTACGGAGGGTCGAGGCACAAGTGTTCCGAGCCTTTCGATACTGAGATTTTGACTCATCAGTCCCCAGTAACCTAAATCTATCCCACATTTTCCTTTTCTTACGGAGAAGGATACGGACCTCCCTACTGAGCCATGGTGGTGCGTTTTTCGGCCCCTTTGGTATAGTCCAAGGGATGTGAGATGTGGTAACTTTTAAGTATGAATTTCGAAATGTCTGCCAACGGTAGGTCCTTTCGGATAAAGACTCCTGAATCCTTTAATTTGTGTCCATTTTGTAAAATTAGGTCACATTCGTTCGAAGAGCCGAATACTACTTTAAGCAGTCTGGAATGATTTGGTTTCGAGTCCGTTAGACTCCCTAGTCTGTACACCTTTAACAAGGTGACCCCGGTGATATTTTGAGGCATGAGTTGATTAAGCAGCTGCCTAATCAGTACAATGTCATGCTCAAAACGAGCTTTAGGTTCAGAGCTATCGCTCTCCTTGATTCAATGAAAATAGCTGATCTGTCGCTATGATCAGCTTTCGATTTTTCAACCACTTTTACGGGGGCAGGTTTCCCTTTTATATCAATACTTTTCTTCCTTACAACCTTTACCCATTCGTCAACGGTGCTGGTAGAAGCAATAACAGTTGCGTCAAACCTAGTGTTGGGTTTCGGGGGGTTGTCGACGACCTGAGGGGTCGTGTTATGTTTACCGTTTGAAACCGATCGAGCCTTGCGATTGCGGCTCCTAGGTGTTTCCTGTTGGATCCCATCTGGGAGACGGGGAACAGAAGACCCTACTTTTTTGAGCTTTTTTTAGGCAGGCCTATTTGGAGACTGCTTTTCCTTCTTTGACGGGCGTGAGTCATCTACCACCGGACTAACCTTAGTTTCCTTCACGTTGATTTGCGTGTCGGCAGACCGAGTGCTGTTTGACGTGTTCCGACTATGCTTGCTAAAACACTTCTTTGCAGCATCAACCAGTGAGATGGCCTCGGTTAGCAAGCTGTTTGCATCCGAG